TACATTTGTACTATATACATTTGTTTTTATCATTAAAGTTTTGCCACTTATTTTTTTTTTATATATTTTTGTCAAAATATTTTCAGATAAAAATATAATCGCGTTTGTTATTTATTTTAAATAAAAGACAGACAATAATGAGAGGGTATGAAATATATGAGATTATTTGTAATATTGACTTCTTCATCTAATGTAACGAATTGTCTTTACGATGAGCAACATGACGAATTCAATATGTTAGCAGTATCTGCTCACTCTTCCGGAGCACATGAGATCGACGGCCGGGTATATGTTGCTAAGCCTTTAGTTTTCTATGTAGTTTTTTTTTTTTTTTTTTTTTGTCTTTTTATCGTTTTTTTGTCATGGCGTTGTCCGTTTGTCTTCGACTTAGGAGTTTTGAAAGGCCCTTAATATCGTCTTCGAAATATCGTCCGCCTCTTGCCTGATTATTTACCCATTTCTCTGACGTCAGTCTGTTGTTATAAATCCTCTTATACATTAAAAGTATAAACAAATACATCGAACTCCAAATTGAAAGCAAATTGAAAAAGGGTCAACATCAAACGTTCGACTATGTCAACTAACGGAGCGGATGAAAAATAACTGTCAAAATATCTTTCTGTGTTTATCAAACTCGATTACCATAATAATATGATACAAAAGAGACGAAAGATACCAAATGGACATTCAAACTCATAAGCAGAAAAAAAACTGATAACGTCATGGCTAAAAGGGAAAAAGACCAACAGACAAACAATAGCACACAAAACATAACATATAAAACTAAAAACCCAGCAACACGAACCCAATCAAAAGTTTGGTTGATCTTAGGTGCTCCGAAATACATAGATATTTTATGGTCCTGACCCTGTATTCTTATCTTATTCCACGGAGAATGTCTGTTGTAAAGTTGTCATATGTTTAGAGTAAGATATTCCATCTGCATGCCACAATGTTACAATCGTGGTTACAACGCAAGGTGCATCAACAAGGAAAGGCAATATTCGATTTACTTATTATATGTCAATATAGTCTAGGCGAGTGGTTTTGAACTCTGGACAAAGTGCTGGTTGATGTCACAGAAGGATTGGTCCAAATCATGCTTGGGGACGGGGAAACACAAATTTGGTACCTCAAAGCAGATTTAATATTGTTCGGCTAAATTTCAGAGAGGTATATGTCATTTGTGGTGTTATGTGTAGCCCTGTCTATCCCAAGGTTATCCGATTGTAACGATGTTACTATGCAGCCATTTCTCTCATTTCAGACAGCCTCACAACAATCTCCATCACAAAACCGTAGTCAGTGGGAGGATCGGACAACTTTTGAGAACTTCATGTTAATCACCAAGACGTTGTACGGTCAATAGTATGTATTTCCAATACTCTCTGTTTGCTGATCAGAGTTTCCTGAAAATTGTTATCATTTTTGTATTCTTGATAATATTTTAGTACAATGCGGAAACAATTATCTAGTTGAAAATTTCGATTTTCAATACAGATTATAGAAGTAAAAAAAGCATCCATCCATGCTGTATGTTTGGCGGGATTTTAGAGAACGCTAACGTTCAGTCTGAGCAAAAAGATATACTAAATTAAAAGTCGTATTTATTAACGGATTGTCTCACATCTTTAAATTGTTCATGTAAATATTCAAATTGTTTCGAAAATTGAAGGTTTTCACTCACTGCAATCGCGCGTTATTAATCCATTGTGCCTTTTCATACCGCCTGTACAGTGTAATATACATTTCAAGCTAATATATAATAGTAAACCAATGTTGATCTGAAACTATCATCATCTGAAAAGTCTAAACAATAAATAATTCAGTCATATTCAGTTTTTCCGTCAATTTTCAGACATACACACTGCGGTCAATTCAAGACTGCATACAATTTTTACTTGCAGTCAATTCAGAACTGTGCAGTAGCTTTTCAGATAATTCAGTATGATGTTAATTTATACTAGTAAATCAAATACTGAACAGTCTAAACATACTGAGTGGCGAAATTATGAGACGACTACATCTGATTAAAATAGAAGTAATAAATAAATATTTGGTCTTATCTCTTGGTCTAAAATGATCAATTAGTTCTGATAAAACAGGAATTGGGTCATTATCTTAAATTTTTCAGATGCAATAAAAATTTTAGGAGAGGTTTCATAGTTATGGATTCGGAATAAAATCTAAATTGCACCTATATTCCTTCATCAAATTGATACCTTATCACTGCTTTTGTATGGCAATATGAATCGTTGTACTATCTTGTTTTTAGACTGTTTTAATTGAAAAAAACTGTACTTTTTTGCTGATAATTGTTCTATGTAAACATCTTCACTAGTTAATTAAAGGTATATATATATATTTGTTTAGAGACAAGTGCGTGTGGTCAATTTTCAGAATTGTTAGACCTTTTACGTCAGGTTATTTAAAAATCATCAAAAAGACATTAAAAAAATGATGTTTTAAAAATATGCTCCAATCCAGAGGCGACGGAGAAGTACTCAAAACAAAATCGTCCTTTTTAAATAAAACAAGAGAGAAAATAGCAAAAAGCAAAAATATATTGTGGGAGGGTATTATTCTAGAACAGAATTGTGTATTAATACTTTCAAACAAACTTTCAATCAAATATTTTAACAAAAACAATGCACATTGTCAAAGTCAACTATGATTGTTCATATAGATTAAAGCATTGATAAATTTACGGTTCAATAATAAAATCATAATAGTGTCATTACTATTATCAAACAATGCAAGTTAATTGTTCAAAAACAAATAAGACATTTACATGCAAACAGTATAGCGGTTATCTACCCAAACGTTGAAATCTGATAATAGCATTTTTAAAAAGCCACGACATTATGATTACTGTATGATTAAGCAGTATTACAGAGTATTTTGTTGTCAATTAGCTCAAAGTTTTACATAGATTATTCATGCATTTGTTTTTTTCTATTTGTTACGAAATTTAGTGGGAAAAATATGAAATGAACTATGACAAGAGCCATTATTTGACTCTTAAAATGACAAAAATATTACAATTCTTTAATCCTTTCAAAATTATACGTCAAATTTTAATGATAATGAGAAGGAAATAATCTAGATGTTTTAGTGTACTATTTTAAATCATACAGATTCATCATAACCATACTTTATTAGATCAGTTTTACGCTTGACAAAAGCAAGCTTGATAACGTCTCCTCAGACATTGTGACGTCGCTGATAATGCCTGATCACGTCTCAAAGTCGTAATACGAGAATTACAAAGCGACTGAGCAAGGTGATATAGGCAAAGAGAAGGACGACAAAATTGTATACACGATTTGTAAAATATATCACATTATTTTCCTATGTATGTTGTTTAATAACATATCACGAAATATTGGAAATGAAAATTAAATGGCTTGATCTGTTCATTGGTACATTTACTCGGTGCTGACGAATATAAAATTACAAGATATTTATATATGTTATAAAAAATCTGCTAGGATACCATAGTATACAATAAGACATTATGGGATAAGAAAGAGCTCTTCAGAAGTAATTAAAAAAAAATGAAAACAACACTTTATAAATTATATGCGTCCGAAGCGCTTTGTTGGATTTACTCTCATCAGGAACGCTCATAACCGAATATTTGAAAGCCAATGATGTATAAGGGCCGAAACAGTTGAAGAGCTATATGACCAAAAAGGACATAAAAATAATAGCCAAATCCATCTAAGGTACAACACCGGAAACAACATGCATATAGCGTCATCAATTTAATTTAGTAAGCCTAACCATCGGAACATAATTAATTTAAAGTCAGTTTTATCACAACCTCCTGGGTCTGATGAATAAGTTAGGATTTTTGTTATAGTATATTTCATTTTCCATTCACCGTTTAGCCTAATTCGTGACATTCAGAACGAATGGCGCTCATCTTTGCTCCACGAGCTTGTTCCCTGTTAGTTCTCACTTTGTGTCATATAAATAATGATGATATTACAGTAACTGAAACCCAAATAATAGTATCCGAAAATTAACAAAATAAAACTAATAAATACTTATAAAATAAAAATAAAAACACTCAAACAAAAGCTGACGTAATTTTGATACTGTGAAGCACTCTGTACCTTTTAGAAAGGTTAAACTTGTTTAAGTTAATGTTTTCCTATCTTTATCAATTGCGGAAGTTATGCGCAGGACAATATAGAAATAGCCAAATATAGCTACAGGAGCTGAAAAAGTCATAATAAACTACAGGGAAACATTAAGGTAGTTCACATAGCTCAAAGGGTGATAGAGCAGATCGTAAACCCAAGAAAACACTGTTAAATTTGAAATCTTAAGAAATAAACTACAACTTCACGTAAATACATTGTTACATCGTTACAGTTATTAGTAAATTTACAAAAGTGAAGCAAAATGGCTTTTTTTATGTTGACTGTCTATGAAAAAGAACTATCGCCGAAACGGAGAACTTGAGCATTGTCTTTAACTTTAATGATGAAAGTTCAATTCATTGTATTTCAAATGACGATGACATTAAACAATAATTGTCTCCCGCTAAGCCATGAGATAGAAGAAAATGTCTCCCTCGTATTAACCAATCAAAATCTGACATTTTAACGTTAAGTATAATAAAAACAAATATAGCATATACATAACTGTGTGCTATATTTTATTTTGAGAGGAGTTGCGGCTCATAAAAATAATCTCAAAATGTCATAATATATTGAATGCCAACAGTTTAAAATATTAAACCTTAAATCTTATATCAACCTCACATGCAAAACAAGAGTAAACAAGTTTAAGCAAGATTAAAAAAATCATCGCTTTAATTTTTCATCAAAACATTTCCCTTTTCCATTAAATTCAACATTCGGAAAGATCGACGTCCATATAAGACATTTGCCATCCGTTCAAAAATGTGATCATTAACAAATAAAAATAAGACATTTGAATTTTAACTCTTTTTATTAAAATTCGAGAAAAGAATCTTATGTATTGAATAAATCCATAAAAGGATAAGACTAGTATTGCTAATTTGCGTGAAATAAAATGAATTCTGTTCATTTACTGGCTCCCAGGGCACTGTCTAGGAGGTGGTGTGTATGTAGTTTTTGGTTCCGGAACACGGTATACATTCTCTTGATACTGAAAAAGACAAATTGTCCTGATAATGTGCAGAATAATATATTATAAAATAATAATGATAATTAAAAAAATGAACAAATACATACAAACATAAATCAATACACAATAAAATTAATATAAAGACATGGGATCAAATCCAATTATACATTATCTCGCCAATTAAAACAATTATTATAGCGGAATATTGAAATAAAATTCGCTATTAGCAGTTAGTTTTTGTTCAATTAGGTCAAAATAAGCTCAAAAACATCGATGATGAATTATTGGTTTGCAAGTCAATAATACAACTCATTTGAATCCGTATTCATGCGAACTTTAATTTAACCCTTAACTGGGGATGGGCTACGCATGGGCTAGGTATGTTTAGTTATTAAAAAGAAAAGAACGTCAACTTTGAAAAGTGAAACAAGACAGCCACCAGAAATATCCCTTTCGTTTAGAGATTCTGTACACAGAAATCATTCAAATACATTTAAAACGACGATTTACATATTTTATAAATGTATTACATAACATAAAATAAAACAGACTTAAAAATCGTTAGTATACGATTGCACGTACTTGCCTGTGTATTTATGTTTGCATCAGGTAATGATGAATTTGGTATACGGCAGTAAGACAGTAATTCAACAACAACAAATTAACACAAATGGCACATACAGTAGTATGTTGTTTTCAACAACAGACAAGGTTCTGCATCAATACTGCGCATAATGTTCTGTTGGTTGTGTGATTTATTGAAAAGCGTCGTTTATATAATTTCGATCAGCGGTATACTACTGTTGCCTTTTTTAAATAAAAGTTGGGAAATTTATCGTTTATGGTTAGCTCGGTTCTTTTGGTAATGGTTCGTTTGGAAAACCTTGTCGTACCACGGCGTGTAAAACAAATTGCTACAAAACCGTATCAATGACAACATGCAGTTACTGAAAACAACACTTTACACTTACATTTTTAGTATCATATCAACCCAACCATACCATATTTTACAAACTGTGGATTTCAAAAGATAGTAAGTCCTTTTTGCTTTTACCACACATTTACTTATTCCCAATATATTATCAAATTGATATCATCATACAAAAACAGTTTATACATACATGTGTGCTTTCTCGATGTGTGTGACTACTACATTTATGGTATACATTGGTCTTATTCAAAATGTCTTTGAATTTGTTCTTAACATCCTGGTTCTGCCAGTTCCAACTATACATCGTATCAACATTATGGTAAGGGTTTGAACCGATTTGATCATACAATGGCGAACTAAGACAGTTGCTTATTTCAGTTTTTGGATAGTAATAGATAAAGGCTAAACACATCTCTTCTGCAGTTGACAATCCTCCCTAAAAAGAAATTGTTAATATTTTTAATACAAATACTTGAAATAGTATTGATAAACGATTTATTTTCTAGAACCGTAACTCAACGAAAAACATATAACACTATGACCAAAAGAAAAACCCAACTGCAAAAGTTAGGCAAACAATAGACCACAGAAGTCTTCACATAAACCAGATTCAGTAACACAGTTCTCACTGAAACGGGATAGAGCTCAAGCTTTCTGGAAGGTTAAGATGTACCTTTGTTTGTTTTAAGTAATACCAGTTGATAAACAAACATGCCAACGAATGTTATTGTAAAAAACACTTCAAATTATAAAGTTAAACAAAGATATGAGATAAGAGTTTTGCGCTTGTATTGAAGTTATGAATGTCGCTAAATGTTGTAGATCTTTAAAAAATAAATATCAACAATTAATACTGGAGGATCAGATGTTCTTATCATCAATAGCTCATGCATAACTGTATATAATAAAATATTTATTTGCCCCTCCCCCCCCCCCCAGCAACATTGCAGTTAGGAAAAGAAATATGTTACCAATGTCGGTTTGGTTCTTCCTGTTGAATCATAATGGCAGTCAATGGTTAAACTATCGCCCTGAAATATTAAAAACAAGATCTATTATGTATCAATTAGACAATTATCTAAGTTGCCAGTGTGACACACTCAAAACAGATGCCAATTAATTGAAAACATATATTGCTACTACATGTTTTTACCAATAATGAGATTACATTATAACGCTACGCTGAATATGTGTCAAAAAATATGTAGCATCAACATTAGTTTTGAGTCTGTGCTGTTTTATGGAGCATGCATTGATTTGGAGGATGTAGAAATGTAACAGTCAATTCATTTATTAAAATCAACGGGACACAAATAAATATCTATATTTGTGTAGTGAGGAAACAATAAAATAAATCAAAATCAAACAATATATTGTCGGATGCTTTTTTTTTAAATTTCTTGTAATCATGGTAAAACTGATACAGTCTCATTTATACCTTTCCTTAAATGCTGCAATTACGTATCACACACTATCTTTCATTTATGTTTTGTCAGCAAAAACAAAAACAAAAACAAAACAGAAAGGACAAATAAACAGTAAAAGGCATGTATGTGTTCAATGATCCTGTTAATATCGCTTTAAACAATCTGTAACGTAAGACAGAACTATATCCTAATATCGTAAAATAGTTTAGTTTGTATATTTAACAAAGCATGTACCAATATATATATCTTGATTACTTACATATTTAATTTCTCTCTCCTTTGGAAAAACTCTCGTATCTTGGTAGTTAAAGTCATAAGATAGGTCCTGTGCCAAAGGTTCCAATTCTACGTCACCACGAATATGATGAGCAACAATACTCGAACCAAGTAAATGGGAATGAAGAATTGTTGCAAAAGCTTTCATACTGTTTTGTTGTGTCACCAAAGCCTAAAATGCAAGTATGTATATTTCCTCTTCCACAAAATTATTCAAGATGGTAAAACAGAAAATTGAATTAACTAGGTAATAGTTACGTGCTTGTCGTTTAATCAAAAAATTCATATAATACTTAACCAAGTAGTTGCTTTAACCACCAGGAATGAATTTCAAAATGATTAAAAATTATATGGATTACTGGATATATAAAATATGACCCATCCTAAGGGAGCGCCAGTTTGACTGCTCGAGATGAAAACATAAGCGGTCACATTTGAATGGGAATATCATTTTACCCATGTTGGTCTTCTGATATCTATCTGTACGCAAGATAACTTTTGCAATAACTATTTCACTGGTTCTTTGGTATAAATGTTAGGCTCAATTTCTGCTCAATTTTTCCCGTTGTCTGTCCAAATTTTGCTTTACGTCTTAAGGTTAACCCACTTGAAAAAGAAGTCTTTTTAATCGAGTTATTGTTTATTTCTTTCTCGTCTTGAATATATATTTTTTTCCACTTCATATTAAACAAACATACCAAAAATAGGAAATTCAAATGACATGACATTTCAGATTTTCTCGGCAGATACAACAATCATATTATTAAAATATTTTTATGTGAGAGTGGCGTATCACATTAAATTGAGGGTCCGTAGGTGACCTGTTGCAAGGCAAAATTGCTGTCCCTATCCAATTTACCCTCATTTTCCAGTGGTAGTCTAAATTTCCCCGACCTTCTTCCTGGATGGCCTACATTACAGAACCTACCTATTGTATTTATTGTTAATTTGTTCTCGTCCTGAATATGCATGAAATATTTGCCACTGGACGTTAAGCAACCAACAATCAATCAATCAATCAATCATTAAATTGATGTCAAATTTTCTATATTCCCTTTAGAAGTCACAATAGTTTTTTTGTAATTTTTTCTGATACCTTCACACAGTCATCAAATTTACTTTACTTGGATTCCATTTCATCAGTGTCACGATTGCCAGATTACAAATAGTTGGATTGTTATATATTAAATAAAAAGCAAAGTAGAAAATCCGGCAACAACGTTGATGATAAGGAAACAAAGTTTAATGACAAAAATGAATAAATTTGGTTCGGTCGAAATAATTTGCGTTGCGATAAGCACTACAAAGCAATGCTTCTAAAGAATTATTGGTACTTTCGTTGTCCGTACAATGAACAACGTAACTTCTTTAGTCGAATATCTATATGACTGCGTATAAATGTTTAAAGGCATCAGTACGCCTTTAGAAAATTTAAAAAATCCTTTAGGTTATGTAACGGAGAATTTATTATAGATTTACATGTTGTTAAAGGTGAGAAAATTGAAAGCAAAATTGTCCAACTATAGGGAATGTTTTACATTTTTGTATGGAGTCATCTGTCTCATGATTTTCTGATTTACTTTTAAGAAAAACTTTTACCTTTTGTAAACACTGTTGACTACATGAATGTCTTGATAAAAAGTCTTTCTCATGTGGAGGAACAAATTGAAGTTTATTAACAATAGCACCTGCTTGCAAAACTCCGGCGTCATGCTGACGTATTGTGTGCGTAGCAGTAATCCTTATACCGGAACTATCAATAATACCTGCATTTGTAAAACCAAAAGCAAAAAATACATAACGAGGCGATTCATCAATAGAAATCCTTTCAAATTAGTAATTTGATCTCTTAAGTCATGTTATGACTAAGATAAGTATATATATTATGTTACTTGACCCTTCAATAAAAATGTTTGTAATATTAAAAGCTCCAGTTCTGTTCTAGTTTTCTGGAGCTGTTTCAATGTTTCTTCTTCTGGCAATTGATTAACACTGAAGACCTTTCAGATTCGAAATGGCAAAAGACATCTAATTATGTCAGCACAAGGATAGTATTAGGCTGTAGTAAAAACTCAAAATAACGGCTTCTTTTAAGTAGTTACAGGTATATTTTATTACACTATATGCTTAATGAATAGTCTGATGACTTACCCGACTTCAGTGTTGGATTATTAAAGTGAGTTTCCATTATAAGATACTGTGGGTCACCGGGTGTCATGAAAGAGTATCCAGCGTTCGATGGGAAATCAAATGCCTACGTAAATATATCAAAATTAAACTTTAAACAAATAAAAATTAAACCAAAAACAAATAAGATGATGTATCATCTCTGACTAAAAATTTTGAAATATGAAATCTATGAATCAAAAGCATTGTATAGTAAGCTTTTCGTAGATTTTATAGTCACAAATTCGGTTTACATAACGGTGCGAAACAGACTTACATGTGTGTGAGCAAGTATGTGATACAATCATGCCAAAATTTACATCTACAAAGTAAATAACACATTTAAGTAATCACCATTTAAATGAAATGATTAACAACTGGTTCGGTTTGTTTAGTTTAAAATCGATTAAACCATTATTATATTTCCGCCAAATGTTGATACTGTCTTTATTTGGCACAAACACTTCGAAGAAATGACGTGACACCATATGAAATTTTGAGCTGCACAGTTGTGGCATCACATTGTATTTGCTTTAAATGTTTCATTTTAAAAATGTTCAATACTTTACTCTAATTTAAATCTTCCCAAAATGTATGGTGAAATGAAAATAAAGTTTTATAAATTTGGTGCCTCCGAAAAGCGCGGATTAAGCATGGATTTACTAGGACCTTAAAGGGAAAGTTCGCCAAAAAAAAAAAAAAAAACAAGAAATGATTGTAACAGGATGCTGTTACGAAGTCTCCCAAACGAAGCTCCCATAATTCGTAATTCCCAGGGTCGCCTGACATTGGGCAAAGTCCAGTGAAAATTGGTTTGGTCCAGTAAAGTTATATGCATTAGTGATGCCTGGGGACTAACCCTGTATATCATTCAAATCATCTTGGCATGACAAACCAGAATATATATGGTTTAGGGGTGGGGATCTCGACCATTTACAAGATATTAGAACTTTCTCAAATGGCAAGGGGTGGGGGTGACTCCTGGGGACAAACCCTGTATTTCATTTCATGTGCTTTATCATGACAAACCAGAATATTTATGGTTTAGGGGTGGGGATCTCGACCATTTACAAGATATTAGAACTTTCTCAAATGGCAGGGGGTCGGGATGACCCCTGGGGACTAACCCTGTATATCATTCAAACCTTCTTAGCATGACAAACCAGAATATATATGGTTTAGGGGTGGGGATCTTGACCACTTACAAAATATTAGAACTTTCTTAAATGGCATGGGGTGGGGGTGACCCCTGGGGACTAACCCTGTATTTCATTTCATGTGCTTTATCATGACAAACCAGAATATATATGGTTTAGGGGTGGGGATCTCGACCATTTACAAGATATAAGAACTTTCTTAAATGGCATGGGGTGGGGGTGACCCCTGGGGGACTAACCCTGTATTTCATTTGATTTGCTTTATTATGACAAACCAGAATATATATGGTTTAGGGGTAGGGATCTCGACCATTTACAAGATATTAGAACTTTCTCAAATGGCAGGGGGTCGGGATGACCCCTGGGGACTAACCCTGTATATCATTCAAACCATCTTAGCATGACAAACCAGAATATATATGGTTTAGGGGTGGGGATCTTGACCACTTACAAGATATAAGAACTTTCTTAAATGGCATGGGGTGGGGGTGACCCCTGGGGGCTAACCCTGTAATTCATTCCATGTGCTTTATCATGACAAACCAGAATATATATGGTTTAGGGGTGGGGATCTCGACCATTTACAAGATATTAGAACTTTCTCAAATGGCAGGGGGTCGGGATGACCCCTGGGGACTAACCCTGTATTTCATTCATACCATCTTAACATGACAAACCAGAATATATATGGTTTAGGGGTGGGGATCTCGACCATTTACAAGATATTAGAACTTTCTCAAATGGCAGGGGGTCGGGATGACCCCTGGGGACTAACCCTGTATATCATTCAAACCATCTTAGCATGACAAACCAGAATATATATGATTTAGGGGTGGGGATCTCGACCATTTACACGATATTGGAACTTTCTTAAATGGCAGGGGGTGGGGATGACCCCTCGGGACTAACCCTGTATTTCATTTAATGGGTTTTATCATTTAGAACATTTTCAATTAAAAAGATTGTGTCTATCATAAATGGTTTTCAATTTATAATCATTTGAAAACTTTAAAAAATAAAATCCCATAGGGTTCTATAGTAAAACCCTCTTTTCTTTTTGCCCCTCAAAGTACCCCTTTATAAACCCCATTGCACAAACAAAACCCTGATTGCACCACTAGACATGTTAGTCTAACATATTGTGAAACCCTAAGTTAATCTGACAAGCGGTTTTGGAGAACGGGTGCGGACAAGTTCAAATTTAAAAGCGGCGGAAGAGGAAGAGGAAGAGGAAGAGGAAGAAGAATAATAATAATAATAAGAACTGAGCAAAAACAATAAGTCTTCCCAAACTTCGTTTGGGAGACTTAAAAATAAAATGATTTCGTGTTCCTTTTGTATAAATAAACATAAATTCAAAAATATTAACGTTTTATTCTGCTGGATAAATGAGCAAAATTGATTTTAAAAGCAATAACCATATGACATTAGAGGTCATCAACGGAGAATTTGAAAAGGTACGTTATAAATAATGCCAATACCGAAGCAATGACTACTGAGCTGATGATAGCAGTCCACCAGCCGCGCATCGTTATCGACCCAGTGCAAGAAAATGAAAATAAAACTTTATAATTTTTTTACGTCCGAAGCGCTTTTCTTGAGTAACAATCCAGCAGCGCCTGCATATGGATTATATATCTCCCAGTTGATACGATATTCCAGGGCTTGCGTGTACTGTCATGATTTCCTTGAAGAGGGTTGCTGCTCACAAGGTAGCTATTAAACCAAGAGTCCAAAGTGGTCAAGTTGAAATCATCCCTTCGAAAATTTTACGGACGCCATCAAGAGTTGGTTGAGCGTTACGGAATATCTGTTTCACAGATGACGACGGAAATTTTCCAATCGTAATAACCACAATCCCGCCCTAATTTTCCCCGAATGTGACCTACCGAATTAGCTTATATGAGCAACACGACGGGTGCCACATGTGGAGCAGGATCTGCTTACTCTTTCGGAGCAACCGAGATCACCCCCGGTTTTTGGTGGGGTTCGTGTTACTCAGTCTATAGTTTTCTATGTTGTGTTTTGTATACTGTTGTTAGTCTTTTGGTCTTTTTATTTTTTGCCATGGCGTTGTCACTTTTATTTTCGACTTGTGAGTTTGAATAATAGAAAAACAAAGGTTATGGGGGTATTCATCGATGACACAAAATTAGTACATGCACAACAAAAATGTTCCTTTGGTATCTTTTGCCTCTCTTCTTCACCAGGACCGCTAAAATTCAAAAGCCAAGGATGTATGAGCACCTGACTGCGTGAAGAGCTATATGACAATAAGAAAAGGAAACTAAACGAAAGGCCAAATCCATCTAAGGTCAATTTTTCCTGATCTTTCCTGATGGAGCTGAAACTTTAGTATCTTAATCATTTCTGTAAGAAGTAATTTCTAATTATTTATTTTTTTGTATTATTTGATAGATAGTGTCAACTGAAAATCATAAATGAAGTATGAGCCTCCGTCTGATGTTTACCTTAACTCAAGATAAATAGATCAGATATAGTCTAATGCAGAATTAACAAAAATAACTTACAAGCACACTGTTTTCTAATTTAAGATGTCTGCATAGTTCTCAACATTAACATTTAACTAGAAATACTTATCAAGAATTGTTGATAAGAGTTAATACCTTGCGAATATTTTTTTCATTATTTTAACCGGTTAGTGGAAAAAACGAATGTTATGTCGTATTCTAAAATTGTTATAAAATTCATCAGTAAGTTTACTCACTACACCACCAACAGCCCAGGCAATCACCACGTCACTACAGTCTAGATGTCTAGGTCGATGTCCATAGCAATCAAATACCTTTCCATTATCGGCATCTGTAGCGGTTGGACAGTTATATACCAAAATATGATGAACGTAGTCTTCATTACCTGGTGATATTATTGGTTCATACTGAAATTATCAAGTGAATTAACAATAGGATAATTTCAAAGCAGGCACTCAGGTACAATGTAACTCCTTCAAAATATACAAATTGAGCGATGGATGTCAAACACATTATATGGTAAAGCATGCTCACTTAAAGCATGATACAAAATTTCAGGAACCACTGAATTTTAGTTCTTGAAAAAATTGCGACGAAAATTTCATGTTAATTTCATACATGTCCTTATGTGTAAAGATGTTTTTAGTATTCAGTTAATAGGAAGTAGATGACCGATGGATGTGTAAATACATAACACTGTATAGCATGCTCACATAAAGATTGTTAACAAATTTCTGGAAGCTGTGATTTGAAGTTCCTGATAAAAATGCGACAATAATTTCATGGAACGGATGGACAGACATAGATAAAGCAGTACACTGCCCTCATTCGGAGCGGGGATATAACTACACATTCGCCCTACCTTAACTTTAATCAAAAAGTTCTTGATAAACTGAAGTTAATTGACAGCAGTATTCACGTAAGAATTTCGACAAGAAACAAATCAAAGTACCTACCCTGATCATATGATACTTCTGTGGTTTGTGCGGGACTTTAAAAACTGTACATTGATAAGTCGTTTCCTTTGCTGGTACATGGAACTACAATATTCAAGAGGAACTCAATTTCAATTCACCTCATAATATGGGTACTTCATTTATTCAGACAAAGGAAATTACATCCGTGGTCGGTATTGCTATCAATGGGCTTGCCAGTCCCCGAAGACCCTAATGTTCTTCCGCCAATTTGTGTTTCAACACTGTAATATTTTTTCTTGTTTTTAATCCAAATAATGGCAGATTCTTTTTAAAAAGTGATAATATTGTAGTTTTCAATAAATAATCATAGACTTCAGCAAGCAGTTAAGACATAAACTATCAAATATTCGAATAATGAGCGTTTTAATCTACATGCCCAAAATCATTGTTATTCGAAGTCTGTTACCAATTCATCTAAAATTGATACTATCAGATTATTACATGGCATTTTTCATATCGCATGTATTATCAGCCTTAGGTTCAATATCAGTCCAAGAGCCGCATGGCTCGAGGGCTGATATTGACCGAGGGCTGATAATACATGCGATATGAAAAAAGACATGTTATGATGTTTTTATCATATGCTTCAACAATTGAGAAAAATAACAGTTTAATATATTGATCCTTTTAAGTAGTTATCAAGTAGAAGTTCAAAAAGTTAAAAGTTTACGAACGACAGACTCCAAATATTATACATAAGATATGAAATCTTTCTATCATATGGCTCAACAGAGGAGAAAAACAACAGTTTAATATATTTTTATATATTTGCTAAATTATGCGGGAAAGTTGATTGTAACATTGCCAGTTATATGTGCCCCATAAAGAATTGTCTTGTCCTTGTAATTTTCATGAATTATTTCCGGTAATTCAGTAGTTTTCTTGATATTATTTGACTCATAGTTAGTAATGTCTTTCAAAACTAGGCCTAATTCAGCTTCTTGTGAAGCTGATAATAATTGTTCATCATCATCAGATGGCATGTCATCAATATTATTATTTTAATCGGTTTCTTTTGTCTGTTCAAGATGTTTTGCGATACCACCACTACCAACATTTGATAAAATATGAGACATTTCTTGTTGCTGATTCAAGGATGCACTACAATATTCATTAATAGATTGAACATTTTTGTGGCCGGTAACTTGCATAATTTGAGAAAAAGGGATTTTTCCATGTGCGAGAGCGGTGACTGTAGTTTTCCTCGCACTATGATTAGTTTTACGCCCTTGGACGCCTGCCTCTTCACACATATTTGTCACAAAATCAGAAAGTGTGTTTTTCCCCATGGCCTGCTTCCGATACCATATCCCATCTTTGACATCTCGGTTAATCCCTAAATAAAAAGGACCATCAGCTTCCAACATGTCTTCCGGTCTTCTCTTGGCATACTCTAGGTAGGTAGCAACAGGACATCTAGGATTTCCTAAAAAAACAATAATAACATTAAACTTACATTAGTATTGCAAATTAAAGGTTTTATACATAATAGTACATATTTTATTTATTTATCTGTTGTTTAATTAGGATTTTTATTTCACCGCCTTTTTGAATTTTTTCCTGAAAACAATAAACACAAAAAGCATGATGTCAAGTTTGTTGGTTTTTGTGATTGATATATGTTTTTTTCTTTGTTTTGAATTATTTTGTTGATTTATTTACCAAGATTTGTTTGCATTTTGTTAATTTATTTTTAATGTAAGTCGATGTGGAAGGGATTCAGGCGTGAAAAGTTATCGACCTTTTCCAGTAAGCGTGATATGTGAATATCAGACAAAATAAGCGTGAAAATGTGAACATACCCTCTCATGGTTTTTGAATTTCAGCAAATTTTAAACGTGATATGTGAGTCTCAGTGAAAAATTTTCACAAGTGAAAACTCTAAAATATAAGCATGATCGTGTGAAAGATACACCATATAAATACCTTTATCTTCAAACATTTTGGCCTGGAATGGTCTTGCATCTTTTGTAGCACCAGTCCGTGTCTTGGTCTGTCTTTCTGTATGTTCTAAATACTTGTCACCGCTGGATGTCACCTTCCTTTCAATATCGCCCCAACGTAATGCAGTGTGCTCTTCCCGGGAGCGTAGTCCAAAGTGTAAGGAGTTGTTAAGCCATACAGTGTGAATGAGTGCACCTGGATTACCTGGAATATAGTTAAATATGGTAAATACAAACATTGTGTTTACTTTATTTTTTCAAATACATATTTATTTTTGTATTCATTATGAAATTTATGTTTGGTAGTGCCACTAGTTAGTAGTTTCATAATTTGATAACCAGAACCATTTTACATAGTTATAAGAAGATGTGGTATGAGTGCCAATGAGACAACTCTCCATCCAAGTCAAAATTTATAAAAGTAAACCAATATAGGTCAAAGTACGGTCTTCAACACGGATCCTTGGCTCACACCGAACAACAAGCTATAAAGGGCCCCAAAAATTACTAGTGTAAAACCATTCAAACGGGAAAACCAACGGTCTAATCTATATAAAAAAACGAGAAACGAGAAACACTTATGAACCACATCAACAAACGACAACTACTGAACATCAGATTTCTGACTTAGGACAGATGCAAACAATTGCAGCGGGTTTAAACGTTTTAATGGTACCAAACCTTCACCCTTATCTGAAACAATAGTGTAACATGACAACATAGAATGGCACACTATAAAATATTAATCGAAATGGCTTAACTCAATCAAAAGACATATTAACACCAGTGATCATACACTGAACACATAAATTTGATCTATAATACAATGTAAATACAAAATAAATAAACTAAGGGAAGAATAATTTAAGTAACATGTTATACCGCTGTTAAACAATTTAAGAAAAACAATATGCATGCTTTAACAAAATATCAGCCATTTGCAATTACTTTAAACACAGGTAAATGAAAATAATTTTGTTGTTAGGTATACGTGTACAGTTGAAATGGAGAAAGGAAATATTTTTACAAAATAATTTTGATGTTCATAGTACAAAGAGTGAACATTTAAAGTAATACCAAACACTTATCAAAGCTGGTATATAGACCAGATACAACCCTGAATAAGTAAACATTAAATAACAATAAAGCATTACAATTAGTATCAACAGGTCAAATAAACAAGAAAGTACGATTTGAGAGTACTCGCAGTTACTGACAGCTAGTTAAAAGCCAAAAACAATTAATAATAAAAAAATCATGCATCAGAGACTAAAATCAACTAAAACACATCCCAGGGATTTAAATTTTAACGTCATGGACAGTCAAAGAAGACATGACCAGTGCAATGCCAAAAATAAATGTATCGACAGGCAGTAGGGTAGTTAGGAGTTTACTTCTTTATAGATCAAAATGAACGTGGGTGTGTCTTTATACATCCCGCTTGAAAAGAATACAAATTTAGTTATGTTTTAATTTGCAGATGACAAAATCGATATTAGTGCCAATGTAAACTATATTCAAAGATCTAATTACAACATTGGTAAGATAATCTTTACTAATAAGTTTGTTTAAAGGTTCGACGAGTTTACACGGATCACATAGTGATTTCCGCGATTACATGTCTACATTCATTTCGAAAGTACAATAATTATCAATAATACATAATTTAAAGTATTCACCTCTACCAAGCTGGCCTTTTCCATACAATATGCTGATTTCTTCGGTGGTGACAGGTTCTGATCTTCTTTTTTTTGTTGCTCCTAACCCCATTGTCTTAAGTTCCTTCATCTTCGCCGAGAGAACATCTCTAGAATGATTGAATTCTTTGTCTTTTATAATGCTAATGTTCAATTTATCAGTCAGGTATCTTGAGATGCTACTCTGGAACGCCTTCACTGTTCCTGGTTCATATGGGGTACCATCTGATTTTGTCACCTTCATGAAGAAACGTGCAAGAAGTTTGTCCAGTTCAAACACGGGGATTTCCTCAAGGTTTCTATGTTCATCGTTTTCTGTTAGCCAATTTGTAAAAATATTACAGTCACCTGTAGTCTTCCGTTTGGTGTTTTTGTTTTCATAGCCTCTACAAATTCTAGTGTCTCGTCCACCTCAACTTCATTTGGCAGACTGTCGTCTGTACTGTTCAGTTCTGCGATTATTGAAAACAATAACCGGATATTGCCGAGTGTTAACGGAGAGGTATGTGATAACATTGACGGAAAGGCATGTGATAATTTCCGAAGCATGTGATAAACTTTTCATATCAGCCCGCTAAGCACCAATTCGAAAAAATATGGAATTAACGTAAATTTAATGCTATTACCATACGGTAAAAATCATATGTTATTTAGTCTAAGTATATGAAAAGATGACTTATGATCATCATGTACCGTCGTATTACGGACGGTCCATGATTATCATTGCCATCAAAAGGTACCTTGTAAAATTTTAATTTCTCATCATAACTGCTTCAATGTTAGTCTTAAAAATTGCACATACCATCTTGGGATTTATTTTCTTTAGTATTATCAGTTGAATTGTCATATTCAAACGTCAATGACGATTACAAAAGGAAAATAAATAGACGTCCTGTTCAAAACCCGAAATAAACATTATAAAACACTTTGCTATATACTCTATTATGAATTATATTGAGTTATTTGAAAGATATTCAGTAAACTGAAACAGTTAATAGTATATTTCATTCATAAAATGAAGAAAAAATTTAAAAACAATGAGCCAACCGCAGTGCATGATCGTATCCGTTGGGTATCACACAAAATGATAAGGTTGGTTGAACGGTGTGTTAGTACATATGAGTGATATGTATAAAGTTTAAGACCGATGTGTTTATTATCGTATTTTTAATTAAGGACTGTTTCTTACATTATGATGAAGCATATCAAACTGTTCTGCATCAGAGGGTGGAACATATTCATTTGCTTTTACCGATGACAGCAACATCAAACTTTTGGCCCCTCGTCTTTCTGCACCATGCCATGATAGGGAACTAAACGATGCAGGATCATCAGGATGGTAAGAGTAGATTACTTTGACAGTACTTTCCTGAAATATAGGATGTATGATCATGTTTTTACATCTAAAAATTGCTTACGGTTCTCACAGTCGTTATCGCTTAAATTTTGATAGAAATGCAACGTTTGGCGATTAATATTTACTTCTTTTGAAAGAACTATGCTCTTAAACGATTTGTCAAGTGCAATTCCCTTTTGTTCCGTTTAATCGGAATGTGTAGCTTTTTATCAATGATACCGTGAGCTTTTGGAAAGAAATAAAAATGTGGATTAAAAGGGATGCATATGGTATACGTCAATGAGACAGCAATCAGGCGACATAAAATAACGAAAAAAAAATATTATACCTTTGTAGTCTTAAGAAAGAAAAAGTGAAATTATATATATTGTTAACATACACTATCACAATATATCATTTTACAAGTCCGTGGCGCGCGGACGTAGTCAAGGAGACAGTATTATTTTTTTCAGGGGTTAACAGGATACACGTAATAGTTTTTAGTTGCAACTTCAAGGTTATTATGCAAGAAAATTTAATAAACAATGATTTTATATATGTTTTTTATTTCAGTGGTTTTCACTTTACATAGGGCCTTTTCTCTGATCTTATTTCAGTGTGCACAATTCTTATTCTACGTATTTCACCTTTATCAATATATGAAAAAACTGTTTGGTCGATTGCATATACCATTTTGTTTTAGGGGGGTTCAGATTCAATGTCGAGTTAATGTATATTATTTAGCGTTGTCTGCGAAAGACAAATCATTTCTCTGATAAAGTATCTAAATTCAAATCCAATATAAATAAAGTTAACATATTTATTTTATTGAACTGTGTAAATTGATCGGAATGCGAATGCTGACATACACCTAAAATTCTTTTTTAGTGTATCCCGTTTAACACATGACATTTGCGCGGGAACTTCTTCCATTGACATCGTAATATAATTGAATTTGGGGATTAATGTAATGTGAAGTAACAGTGATTGATTTTTGGATGTAATGTGAAATTATTTGTTTCTTCTATTATATAGTACATAATTTGACGTCAGGTTTGTACTCATTAAGACTCTAGTCAGTGGCGGATCCAAGGGGGACAGGATATTCCGGAGGTTGAAACCCCCCTTTTTTTATTGACATGTGACGATCAATGCATTTGAATGGGGATATTTAGTTGGAACTGACCCTTTATCCTGGGTATGGTTTCTCTTTTTAAAAATAGCTGTATCCGACGAAGATGTACAGCATATTACAACAAAAATTTTCCCAGAAAAAAGGGGGGGGGATCGGGTCTGTTCGCAACATGCTCGCCCTAGGTCCGTTCGCCCTGATTACATGCTCGCCCTAGGTTTGTTCGTCCTGATAGTCCGTTTGCCCTAGGAACGTTTGCCCTATTTTTATTTAGGATATATGTATATGTTACATTTATGGACGGGAAAAGGGGATACTATATCAATTTGTGCATGAAGCAATTTAGGTACCGAATCATTTTACCACAACTTTGTGAAAGTTTTAACCGGTGTTCCCCATTTATACTGTACATGTATATAACCCGAATAATTCAGTCGTTATATTCCACTGCTCTACGATGGCTACATTAACGCGAGTGGGAGAGTCAATCACGGGGAGTGACTGAATTATTCGGGTTAACATGTATACTGAAAATATGATATAAAATTTAAGTTTTTTTTCAGGACTTCAGATCCTTCCATGTAGTACGGCATTTTTGTGAGAAGTGGATATTCATGAAGGACCTGTAGTACAAAGTATATCACTGGATTGAGCTCTTTGTCTAAGTGTATTATTTAAGTGCTTTGCTTTGAGCTCAGTTCATTGTTATGCAATTCATTCTTTGTGAAATAAAGATTTGACAAACAACTCTAATCTGCACAAGGAATTGTAGAAGTATCCATTCTATGTAAGTAGTAATGGGGAGAAACATATTAAAGCATTTTATTTACTTTTGAACCGAAGATGTTGTGTCCAGAAGCTAAATTAGAAAAAAACACACAAATTACCAAACAATACTGCTCGTGCTACTAGCAATATAATGAACATGAATATGATGCTAGGTGATTGTGTTACACTTTTTTAAACTTATGCACTGCCTACTGATAACACAGTCCTGAGTAGATGTAAATGTCATTCAGTATTGTAAAAAAAAAAGGACCTATCTGCCCTAATTGATTTCTAAAATCATATTTCATTGTTCAACATCTATCATTCATTTGTCAATTTGTCAAATTGTGTGAATTAACAGTAAATGTTAAAAATGTTAATAACAGCACTTTCATACCACAACAAAATTAGCTTAATACTGTACTGGCTTCACTAATATTTGTATTCATATAACAAAAAAATCTTGGAACAAGAATATTTTTGCAATACCTTTTTCATTTTAAATTCTATAACTTTTTAGATAAATAGAACATATTCGGACAATTAAATATCTTCTAATCTGAGAAACAATTTTGACATTTAAACGAAATATTTTACTGATGGTACTGGGAAGATCCACCACAAAGAAACATAAATATAACCATACAAATAGTACATGCATGCATGTTCTACAATACTATCTCCAATATAAAAATCACATCATGAAGAAATGAACTTTGTGTTCCTCTCCTAGCTACAAATGTATCCAAAATCAAAGGTGTAGAACATATTTTATCATAATCATTTGGTAATCAATGCAATTAGTGTCTCCATGACAGTCTTGAACATTAAAACAAAGTTAAAACAAAGTATTAATAAACAATACTGCTAACGTTAAGTGTTTGGCTCAGTAAAGCTGTCATTGTGCACAGTTTAATATATATAGAACTCTATGTCAACATGAAACACTGTCAAACATTCATACATACTATCCACACTGATCCGTGTCCACACTTGTAGTAGTATAAAAATAAAGAGCTGCGCCAGGAGCGCATAATACGCCCGTCGCTTTTTCAACGAATACAGTTCCATAACTCCTTAATTTCATATGAGAAATTTATATATATATAAAAAACTAATTGTAGCTTAGTACTTAATGGATATATACCAGTCCCCAAAGTTTCATAAAAACTGCTCAAAGCATTTTTTTGAGTTGTTGTCCGAAATCTGGAAAATCCCCCCCCCCCCCCCCCCCCCCCTTCTTTTTTGAATAAAATCTCATAACTCGAAAACATAGGATCTAAAAATTATAAAAATAGAAAGGGACTTTAGGTCAATAGATATAAGCAATTCACCAAAGTTTCATGAAAATTGGTTAAAGTGTTTTTGAGTTATTGTCCGACATGTTGACGACGGACGGACGGATAACGGTATACCACAATACGTCCCGTAAACGGGCGTATAATTGCTACGCAGTATAACATTGGCAGCGTTGTGAGATATTCGGCTTATCTTCTAGTTGTTGGACAGATAAACGGAATTTGAATACAATTATAGAACAGTAGAAAATTTTCAAGATAATACCTGGTAGTATAATTCAGTCTAAGTAAAAAGAAAAAAGAGATAAAAACTAAATTAACATCTTAATACATTTTTGTAAACTCTACTATTAGTTCTTGATGGCTATGTCGTTCTGTAATGAGAGTCCTACGATGATCAGTTATTTGAGGCAAGACTCCTTAAAATAAGCAAAATTACGAGTTTGAAAATGATCTTTTTTAAATCCAATCTTTACATGGCCAAGATAATTTTGATGACATCTGATAAAGACCCAATTAAAGTAAATTATTTATTGCATATATTACCGTTATAAGATAGTCATTATCATCACACGTATCCAACTTTCTAATAAATTTTAAAACTGTTCCAAAATTATTCTCTTTGCCGAGTAACAAAAACCAGTCCTGACTAGCATCAATAATCGGTGCGTAGTGTCCTTCAGTGTGACAATCCTACAAATTAATGGAATTTCATTAAATTGATTAGACATAATGAACTTCTGAATATGTATGTAATTTGTTTTTTAATACTTGTTTTCAGCGTTCAACGCTCGTATTTGGAACTTTGAAAGATTTACACACAGCATCCTTGTCAAGGCAACATTTTGCTGTTCTGCGTTATTCTTGCCAAACCAAAAATTTCCAGAAAATATTCTCAAAAAATACTTACTGATGGCTTATAGCTCTTCAACTTCGTTTTTTATTTGGTCTTTTGGTTTTTTTTTTTATTCGAGCGTCATTAACGAGTCTTTTGTAGACGAAACGCTCGTCTGGCGTATACAATTTGAATCCTGGTATCTATGATTATTTTATTCATATCAAACATATAATACAAATTTACTTTAAAGAAATGCAGTCCCATGAAGTGTTGTTGTCAAATTGGTACTTTATATAATACAAATGTACATAATATTTGAAAACTGCATAATGTAAGAAGCCATGAGTTATACCCCTTTCTCGATCTCTCTTTTCAGATGATCAATGTTATAATTCTATCAAACAAAAACCTTAAAGTGTGTTGTTCCATTGCTGTCGATCCATCCGATAACAACATCAGAAGGAAACATTTTACCATTAGACGATAGCCCAAAACCAACATATCCTTTAGTCTTCACGTGTGTCTCGAAAATAACGTGTGTTGCGTTCGTTTTCCAAAACAACCAGTAGTTCCCTTGTACGTCTAACTTCCAGACGTTACCAAACTGCTCGGTAGGAGTTGGTTCCGTTGTTGTTGCCGGAAAACTATCCTCTGGACTAGGTTTTCCGAAACATTTCGCAACTAACAGAAACAATAGATAGGAAACTTTGACTGCCATCTCTTTGCAGAAAAAGTTAACTTCAAAAGATATCTAATGTATTTAAGGGGTTACGGTGACTAACTTACAACAACACATTTATCACGAGTGCGTTATTCTGATTGTTTCGGGTTATTTTATAGGTTTATCGAAAATGGAATTTCCTGAGCGATTGTCTACGTTACAAATGGAATGTTTATAACTATCAATGTCCACTTTAGATAAGCGTTAACTTAACAGTTCAAAATTCAGATACACGAAAACCGAAGCTTTTGAAAAATTACCTAATAGTATATAAACATGTAAATGTTTGTGTGTGCAAAGCAATCTTATCAAATAATCAGTACATCTGCACCATATTCTTTGTTTTCGAATGAAATATATATATATATAGTTCCAATTTAATGTACAAAAAAGTCTGTTTAATGAAGGGCATTTGAATTGTTAAAGAAATCATTTCTGAAAGATAACATTACAAAATGCAAAATAAGAAGCAAATTAAGTTTTCGTATTTTTAGCTTATAAGTACAACGTTTCTGTGTCGCATAATTTGTTATAGTCTCGTCCTATGCCTCGCCAAAAACACCCGAAATCTCTGTCACTAGACCCTCTTATTTCACTTGTAAATATTGGTTGTCTCGATTCCTGAAAAAAAAAGCATTTCTAATTTTCCTAGTTGCAATACACTCCACATTGTTACAAACCTAGATACATAACACTCTAAAACTCCAGAGTGTTATGCAGATATGTTTAAAACACTCATCATCAGTTTCAAAACACTCTCTTTAAAAAAAGCCAAGGAGATGTGGTATGATTGCAAAAACTGAAAGCAACACGTTATAAATTTCGGCCGTCCAAAGCGCTTTTCTGGATTTACCTTTATCAGGAACGCTCAAAGCCGAATATTTGGAGGCCAAGGATGCATAAGAACCGAAACAGTTGAAGAGCTATATGACCAAAAAGAATTCTAAATCAATAGCCAACTTTGCCTGAGGGAGTTAAAACCTCAGTTTCTTCATAATTTAAAAAAAATATAAGCGGACATTTTTAGAAAGGTTTGTTATAAAGCATGACAGTACCGAAGTGCAAACTATCCACCAGAAGCCAACGTACCTGGATTATGTAAATGTCATGCTGATAGAAAAACAAAGGATATGGGGTATCCAAGTGCATGACCCAAAATCAGTACATTCACAGCAAAAAAAAATTAAATGAACAGCGTTGTCTTGTTTTTGTTCTGTTGCTTTCTGATGCATGTATTGACCCAAGTTCCTATATTCACGTTCAACCAAGCATAATTTCAAATAACGTGCATTATGGCATAAGAAAAATACTGTAACAATCTGTACGGAGCTTCTGGTGTATCTTATTCATATAGTCCAATAACGTACATATAGCAAAAGAGAAATACAATCTGTACGGAGCTTCTGGTTTATCTTATTCATATACTAGTAGTCCAATAACGTACATATGGCAAAAGAGAAATACAAATTGTACGGAGCTTCTGGTTTATCTTATTCATATAGTCCAATAACGTACATATGGCAAAAGAGAAATACAATTTGTACGGAGCTTCTGGTTTATCTTATTCATATAGTCCAATAACGTACATATGGCAAAAGAGAAATAAAATGTGTATGGAGCTTCTGGTTTATCTTATCCATATAGTCCAATAACGTACATATGGCAAAAGAGAAATACAATTTGTACGGAGCTTCTGGTTTATCTTATTCATATAGTCAAATAACGTACATACGGCATAAGAGAAATACAATCTGTACGGAGCTTCTGGTTTATCTTATTCATATAGTCCAATAACGTACATATGGCAAAAGAGAAATACAAATTGTACGGAGCTTCTGGTTTATCTTATTCATATAGTCCAATAACGTACATATGGCAAAAGAGAAATACAATTTGTACGGAGCTTCTGGTTTATCTTATTCATATAGTCCAATAACGTACATATGGCAAAAGAGAAATAAAATTTGTACGGAGCTTCTGGTTTATCTTATTCATATAGTCCAATAACGTACATATGGCAAAAGAGAAATACAATCTGTACGGAGCTTCTGGTTTATCTTATTCATATAGTCAAATAACGTACATACGGCATAAGAGAAATGCAATCTGTACGGAGCTTCTTTTTTTTATAATTTTTTTTTTATTTTATTCATCATGGATTGACATGGATTTACATATATTATCTATAGTGGCACATAATAAAGCAAGCGAGATAAATAAGCATAATCAAGCAAATGAAAGTAAAAAAATAATAGTAATAATAATACGATACGATATGATATAACAGAATACAATATATATTTAAGGACGAATTATAACATTTTCATAAAAAAATATAGTGATAATTGTAATTACATTTCAAGCACATTTATACATTATAATTCATTATTAATTCTAATTAATGACTTTATCCCAGGGGTTCCAGTACATGTTATATTCTTTTGCACTCATATTTTTTGAGGAAATATGCTTTTCTAAAATTAAGTTTTCTTTGATATAGTTTTTAAGTCCCTCTATACGAGGTTTTTCCTCCTGCATCTTAGATCTGTAGATGAAATACTTTGCTAGTAAAATGACTTTATTTTTTATAAAATTTAGTTTATAGTTATCATAAAGGCCAAACAGGACTATATCCACATTTAGTGGAATTTCAATATGTGTTGCTTCAAAAATCCAAGCATTCAGATGGTGCCAAATGTCTGCTACAATATGACAGCCCCACAATAAGTGTTCTATGCTCTCTGGTTCTTCCTTGCAAAATGTACACAAATTACACTGTACAAGGTTCATTTTTAAAAGGAAAGTATTAGTACCTAAAATACGGTGAATAATTCGGTATTGAAACCAACAGAGCTTGGTATTTTTTGAAAATTTAGTGACACAATTATGTATTTTTTTCCAATCATCAACAACTTTAATATACTCTCCCATTTTCGCTCAGCTGCAATTACAACTGGTATTGTACCTTGGTTTAAGATAGTATACATGTCTTTTGAACCTCTGTTTGACTTGAAAAAAATGTTAATATTAAAAGGTACGAAGCTTCTGGTTTATCTCATCCATATGGTCAAATAACGTACATATGGCATAAGAGAAATACAGTCTGTACGGAGCTTCTGGTTTATCTTATTCATATGGTCAAATAACGTACATATGACAAAAGAGAAATACAATCTGTACGGAGCTTCTGGTTTATCTTATTCATATTATTTCTATAGCTCATCAATAAATTTGATTCATGCCATGTTTTAAAGGTTAAGTGAACGGTTAATAAATTTAAATTAGTATTTATTATCTCGATTAAAATTTTTCTAACGCATCGCTTCTTTATTTACCCGTTGAGGGAATAAATAGGTTGGGTACTTAAATATGATTTACTTAACAAATATTGTTATCAAAAGACTGTAAACAATAGACATTATTTTATCATCACGTGAACAAAACTGTGACCCAGTTACTGCTCGCTCTCCCTTTTCCATTTTGTTTTGCAATAACTCTGGAATGACATATATCAGATTTTTTTTAATCGAACGGTGTGTTAGGTTCACAAGTTCCAACAATTATGTAATATTGTCAGTAAATCAATATTATCTAGATTAATTATGTCAAAAATTTGTTTGGTTGATTGATTGTGGTTTTCCTAACATTCAGTGACAAATATGTCTTGCATATTCGGAAAAGAAAACTAATTTTTTTAACAATAAATCGGTCCGACTGAATTTCGAATACAACTGGAAAATGACGGTATGTAGGAAAGAGATATCAAAATAAATATTTGCCTTGCAAAAGATCATCTTCGGGCTCAACACAGACTTGTTTTAATGATTCTTAAATATTTAACGTGCAACGATCGTGGCATTTTTCCAGTTTCCGGCGGTAGTGACTGCTTACATGTATTTATACATCCCAAAACAGCCAAACGGATACTCAATGTTTCGAATACGGTCGAATTTCAAGATTTTAATATTTATGCTTCCAGTTAAGTAAATTATCTCTTTAGAATTTTATCTTTTTATACTAAACTGATTTGACTCTGTAGGAAAAAGTCGAATGTAAATTGAGTTTTGTCTCAAATAAAGAGAAACAACACATACGTAGAACAAACTGTATTACTGCCTATGCAGAGCATGAGGGACAAGCATGGAGTAATGTGCGGGATGTGGTATTTTTCTTTTATTTCGCAAGTGAACTACACATTAATTTAATGGAATTGCAAAAAAGGTGGTTACCCATTGAGGATCCATAAAAGGTTACGCACAGGTAACATATCAAAATATGCTCGTTCCATAAGGTTTATTTTTAAATGATGAATTAGTATACCTCACCTTACCAGCTAGATTTTTACTCTGTCGTGCATTTAAGAGTTTAAAAGTATTAGTTACAGGTTTTGACATGCTTATAGTCTTATATACGTCTTGTTTATGCCCCCGCGACAAAATGTGGAGGGGCATAATAATTTCCTCGTCCGTTCGTCCGTCCGTCCGTCTGTCCGTTCGTACGTTCGTCCATCCGGATATAGATACATGATATGTCCGGCTATCTCATCATACAGGTTTTGAGCTACAGCTTTAATATTTTATAGGTTGTTTGTACACATAATGGAAGTATGCATGTGCACAGGATTTTGATTTTTTTCAAATATTCTCAAAATGCCATGTATTTGTATTACACGTCAGAAAGGGGGATGTCTGATATTCATAAAAAAAACGGCAGTTGGGCTTCATTTCCTTTTCACTTACTTTATAATTGAAAACCTGGTTTGTACTACTACAGTTCAATGTCCCTTATCCAATAAATATGATTTTTTAATATTGTCAAACATTTAATCTAAAAATATCGGGAACTTCAACTTGTTGACTACTGAAACTGGAAAGTTGAAACCTTTTGGCCGGACAAAGTGTACACATTCAGAATAAAAATAAAAGATAGATCATAATACATAGTGTTAAATTTATAATTTCTTATGGTCAGTCGGGGGCATCACTTATGTCTTACAGACAGACAATTCCAAGTTGTACTTCAACATCACTGTTTGTCAAATCTAAAGCATAT